TATGTACTATTCTAGCAATAGAGGTTCCTTGGTTTTTGTTGGTTTCTAATGGTGCACTGTACCTTGTCAGGTTCATAGGAAGATATCAGGTTTTAGACTTTATAATTTTTATCTTTATCAGTAGGATAATTTGTCCTAAAATTTATTTATTTTTTGATTGGAGATAAATATAAAGAAAAATAATGTTAAAGTTTATGATATAATACAAAAAATATTAAAAGTAAAATATGTAGAAAGTTGATTTTAAAGAAATTTTTATAATTTTACCAGCTTTTTAAATCACTCCCTTACATGCAAAATGCATACGAATGGGGTCACAAAGAGTTGTGATAAAGGGAATAAGTCAAATGTCCATCACTTCATTCCAAGTGCATGAAACAAATGAACCACCGTACACCTTTGCACCAATATGGTACTTGAAAAGCAAAATTATTAAACAAGTAAAACAGGTCTCTAGTCAAAGATTGAATGATTTTTCAATTGACCTTTCTAAATCCAATGGTTGAAGAATTTGATCAAATTCTTCTATTGCATTTTAAACTTCTACACTTCAATTTAGCTCTTCTTATAGACCATTCTGGTTAACCGGCGAGGGCCGATTCTGAGTAACCGGTAATCCGGCCAGGTTAACTGGCCTAACCGAGCAAGTCCAGGTGCATCAAAAAAATGTTAAAAACATTAAAAATACAAAAATATGAAAAGTATTTACAACATGATTAAACAAAGCGCATCCAAATGCAATTGAAATTAGTGAAAAAATTTAATTTTAAAACATCAATTTGTGTCAGGGGCTTTTTAAATTTTTTTTTAAAAATATGAGAAAAATATAAAAATAAGTATTCATGGCCGAATACTTTCAAATCTTTGCCAAAATGAGAAAAAACATTAAAAAACGCATTACAAAAAGTCCCTTATTTTTTAGATTTTATATAATTTTATTTTAAAATTTTAAAAATACCTTGTCGGATCATCAAAACCAAAACTCGCCATTGCTCGGTTCCAATCTAACAGGCTAGTTCCAAGTTGAACCAACTGATATTGCCAACATTGATTGCAACTAGAGTACTATTACTCTATTCTAAAGGCATCTATTTTACCCCTTATGCAAATAATTTGTTGAGCTCAAAATATTTTTTTGTTAAATGACAACAACAAAAAAAATTGGAGAGGTTAAATATTGAACAGGTAACTAATACAAATAACCACGTTTTAGTGAGAGAAATAAAAATTGAGAATGAACTCACAAGAATAAAGAACAAACACGTTGATATAAGTATTCCGCTATGTACCCACAAGCATAAGAGGAAAATAAAAAAAATCTTCTAGGGGGCCTCTTTCTCCCTCTCTCTCTACAACTAAAAAAAAAAAAAGATTGTCTTTTTTTATTGTCATAAAAAAAAACTATTCAATATTTGCCCAGGGGTATTTTTGAATTTTTTTGAAACATATGGAAAAAATATAAAAAATAATTATTCATGGCTAAATACTTTCCAATCTTTGCCAAAATGATAAAATAATAATAATAAAAAATACATTACAAACAAATCCTTTATTTTTTAAAATTTTATATAAATTTTTTGAAATACCCCGTCGGATCACCAAAACCTGGCCATTGCCCGAATCCAATCTAACCAATTGGTTCCCAGTTGAACCAGCTGACATTGATTACAAGTACTATTACTCTCTTCTAAAAGCATCTATTCTACCCCTCAGGCAAATAATTTGTTCAACTCAAAATATTGTTTTTGTTAAATGATAACAAGAAAAGTATTGAATAAGTTAAATATTGAGCTGATAACTAACGCAGTATAAAATTACAGGCAGACAACATCGATAAAAATAACCTCGTTTTAGAGAGAGAAATAAAAATTGAGAAAGAACTCTAATCTTTAAACAATAGGACACGGTTTCTATGCGGCCAACCCGCATATTGTAGAAATGCGGGCTTGGCAATAAATATACTTTTGCAATATAATTTGATTTTAATTTCTAGAAAATATATAATCTTTAACATGAAGATCACGAATATGAAATAATAATAATAATTGAAAACTAGAAATAATATTTATATTTTAAAAACATTTAGACCGTTAGTTACAATTGTTTTAAGATGAACCACCTATTTGCATCCATCTTTAAAATGGATTCTTTTTTGGGTGAAGTTGGCATATGGATGCATCTCTAGGTGTAGAGATAAGGTGCACCTTCAAAGTTTATCATGGTATATAATTGATGTAAAATGTTCTTAGGATTATCTCAAAATCTATTTTTATATCTAATTATAAAATTTTAAATTTAAAAAATAGTTAAAATAAAGTAGATCTATAAACATATGTAAATCTTGAAAATGAACGGTGTAGATAATATGTTGTCAAATGCACTATTTATGAGGCTTAAAATCTTTTTATTTTTCACAGTCATACATCTCGATGTCGAGATGATCAATCAAAGGGTTTTTAAATATTAAAACTACCTTTTTCGATGGATTTTTGAAGAGCATCCATAATTCTAGTACCATCCTTGTATAAACTTTTTTCTTCTTTTTTTGGATAAGTATTAAAATGGATTCTTTATATCTTTGGATGCATATTGTAGAAATGTGGTACTGCCCGCATGAATCAATTTTCCTTTACAACATCCTTACCTTCTTTTATCCCCATGGTACTTGTTCGATCGCGTTGTGCATATGCAAGCCACCCATTAGCAAACTAACACCACCCAACAAAAACGGAAAACGTATTTATACCATAGATCCAAGCTTATAGAAGAAACCCTTCACATCGTACTAATAATTCTTCATAATGTCTAAGTTTTACAAGACGACCATATCTTCTTAAATAAAAAGAAGAGTGATTTATCTTTGTTTTTTACAAAATTATCTATTCAACCTAAATTTTATTTTTATTTAGGGGCTGTTTGGGTACCTGGAAATACATTTAGGGGTTGGGTATTTAGAAATCTATTACATGATAATTGATTATAAGGAAAAATGACATTTTTTCTGGTAAAAAAATAGAAAGAGATTACGAGAGATTTCTCTAAAAACTATTACGTCACAGTGCTATGTGAAAAATCTATTAGGAGAGTTACGGGTAATTTTGGAAAATCTTTTGCATCCGTTTTTGTCTACTCTATCATGATTAAAAAAATCTTCTAAGTCCTCTCTTCGCAATAACTAGGTGATCCCTCTTTTTTTAAGCTCATCCCTTACCTGAAGGCATTAGCTGTCATCTGAAGGCATTAGCTGTCATAATAAAAAAATTTACACAACATAATGTGATCTCTCTTTTTAAACTCGTCCTCTCATATGAAAACATCAATGTCATATAAAAATAAAAATCAATAATCAATAATAAATTACACAACACAATCATAATAAAAAAATTCATACAACATAATTGTGATTTAAAATTATGGTAGGGGTTTAAGTGGATGTGCCCGTTCTAAAATTGAACTTAGAGATGGGTTTTAGATCCAAAACTCTGCTCGTTTATCATTTTGATTACCACGATCATGAATATGAAAAATAACTGTGAGCTTTAAGATGGTACATTGTGTTAGATGGTACATTGTGTTTTTTCCTGGGCTGTTCATTCCAATTCTTCAAAGATCATCAGATCTATACTGTTTTTGGAGCTCCAAATTCATTGATCTGAGGCGAAAATGGGTTTGCAGTGACTTGAGATGTGTTATGGGTTATAAAATTGAAAATTAAGGCATACACATGATACTAAGGATCACCAAAAACTTCTTAAATAATTTTTGGGTTTTGCTCAATGAACATGCTTGCCTTTTTCATTTATCTAAGAATCATTTTTTGGTAACTGGTAAATGTATTTTGGCTACTAATGGTAGTTGTAAGGGGGAAGTAATTGTACACCTCTGGTGTATGGTTACATAAAAAATTATACAAAAGTTTGTGACTGCAATCTACCCTTGAGACTGCAGTCTTAATTCCTATCCTTTCTGTCCTTTCCAAATGAATTCCTTTTAATGTTGGTTATATAAAAAATTTGCTTCATGTAGTGATCATAATTTTGGGACTTCAGGTTACTAGTGTAACAGGGTTTCTTTGGCATATGAATCATAGTTTTAGGATCCACAACTTGTTGGTTATAGTGTGTTTATATTCAAATATTGTTCACTTTGCTCTTCTATGGTTGTGATTTTGGTTTCAAGAGGCAATGGAGAATTTTTTTTATTGGTCATGATTCATAGGTGTGTGAGCGTGCTCGCTCGCACATGTGCATGCGTGTGTGAGAAAATTCTATGCTCCCCTAGGAGAACTTCGTAAATTCACTCCTTCGGGCTAAACCCAATATAGGAGTGTTTTTTAGAATGTCAATTTGGGGTAGTAACTTCTTCTATCTAGCGACCAACCTCAAATTTTTCAATAAATGCACTTTGTATGTGATTAAAAATAATATCCAAAAATTGAATTGAGACTTTTAATTTTGAAGGGTTAGATCTAAGTGTTTGAGAACTCGAAATCAAATTATATTTTTATAAATAATCATATGATGATTCGCCTGAATTGGTGTGCTATGTGCAGGTGGACCTATGAATCTTAGTTTTTCAGTTTGTGGGTTGTCTGGTCAAGTCTGATTTGGAAGCATGCATGGTGTTAAGACCGCGTGCATTGATATCCTTTTTTACAACAGTGTGAAAGTATAAATAAGCCAATATTTCGCGTGACATGTGTGTTTTTTTTTTTGGTATTTTATTATCAATTTACTAGCATTCTTAACTGCTCTGGCATTGGGATTCCTTGAGAAAAGCATTCAGATTATTGCAATGTCATGTCTAGCACAAAATTATAGACTTTCTTAACACATAATGTAACAAGCATTTTTTAGTTTCCAAAATAATTGATTTCTATGAGTATGATGTTAAACACGTATATTCCTTCCTAGCCTACCGCAAGAAGAAAATTTCATGACTATGCTATTGGGTGTTAAACGTGCTCAGTCATTTTAGTTATCTTTCAGGTAGGTCGGGTGCAAAATGAAGGTTTTTATGGAGGAGTTAGACTTCTTATGGCAATCTGCAAAATTTTCTTCAACCATTGTCTTTGCTAAGGGAATCGCCCTACATGGTGGAAATTTTACATTATCATATGACACAAATATTCCTCGGCAGGTAATTGTGCAGCTATAATAGTGTATAACTAAGTGCAGCACCAATTAGAACATTAATTAGACTATTATTCTTTTCTCAAAAAAATCTTACATTATTATTCTTAACGCTTCTCTTTTTAAGGAACTGTGATATTAATATTGCCTGACATTTTCTAAGTACAAGTCAGGTACGCATAATCTGTAATTTCAGTGAAGATCTCAATTATATTTGATTTTAAGGAAATAATAGCTTGACCCCATCGTCGTCGTAATTTTCTACTGCTTGCATTGGATACTTCATTTGTTCGTTGTAAATTATCTGACTTTCATTTGATATTCTTTTCTCTTAAAGTGTTATAAGGCTCGCTAAGGCTGCTGTCTTTAACTGCATGAAGCTTTCTAGCTGCCATCTTTAACTGCAACTTTGGCTTTCAAGACATGGAAATATGTCTGCTGGTAGCTCCTCAATAATAAGATTTGCATGGCTGGCTGTAAAGGGATGATTCATATACCTCCGTTATGTTTTTAAGGTATGTGATATATATATATATATAAGATATTTGCTCGTATTGTTATGTTCCATAAACTCAGACTGAAATATTTGACACAGGAGTCTTTGATTGTCCATGTTCCTTACTCATAGATGCCTGTGACCATTTAACTTGTGAAGGTTTTTTCTTGTGCTACCGAAGATAGTTGCCCATGTCATGCATTCCTTGGTTGAGTTGGTGTCAATCATTCTGTATAGCAGCTATCTTGTGTATATTTTGAAGGTGCCTTAGAACTGTGGCATGACTTTCTTCATTCAAGTTTTACCTCTCCACGAGAACATTGTTTTGTGACTTCATATTTTAGTATTCATTGTGGTCTCAATATTTTCTGATCATGATTTTGTTTAGTTGACTTGCGTCTGGAACCTTTTTTGGTGCGTAACTCTGGCTTTATTGTGGGGCTATAACCGCAAATAGTTTTTTATAGGTTCAAGACGTGAAGTGTGCTTGAGCAACAATTGGCATTGTTTGGGTAGAAATCTAAGTTGCTTGAATCAATTAGACTCGTTTATCTCCAACCTTTGCTCATCTGGTCCTGAATCACTCTTTAAGCGCTAGCCCACTCGAAACAATCTTTTTATGTGCCCCTTTTGGGCTTTTATGCCGTTGACATCATCTCCTCCCCAGCAAGATTAATATTATCAACATAATTTTGTTCACCCTCTGTCTGGGTGAATAATATTGGTTTGTGAATCCCTGTAGTTCACCCTATGTGTGGGTGAACCCTTGTCAATAAGTGTAGCTTTATACCTTTTGATGGTACTTTCAGGTCTGAACTTCAACTTGTAGACACACTTGCAGTCAAACCAGTTGATATTTTTCCTCTCAGGCCTGTGCCCATGTCCAGGTTCCATTCGTCAAAGTCATCAATTCGTCTTCCATAGTGTCCTTCCATTTAGAATTTGGTGTAGCTTTACCAAGATTGGGGGACTGAGAAAATGGTAAAAACTATCGGACTACGGAAAAATGCAATGCACGGTAAGACACAAATCGCTAAGTAGGGTGAGTAGTAAATTAGAGTTTTTCATAACTAAGCATTTTATGCAGTTTTGGATCAATGGTGTTAAGAGTTGTAGGCAATCAAGTAGGATAACCCTAGTCCTAAGGGATTCCTTGATTAGAAGTTTCTGGTTCTTGGGATTGTACTTGGTTCTACTCAGATTATTGGAATGAAATGTAAAGAAAGTGGAGAGTTAGTAACAAGTGATCTAGGATGTCTGCAGTGAGAAAGTCGAAGAGATTCAGTTTCTGTACTGTTTCCACTATAGGAGTAGCATGTTGTGGGATAAAAGCCACGTGTACTATACTTGTGTTGTCCATTTGTTTAAAATATAGGGAAAATATCACCATACCCCCTATTTTTAAGTTTCATTTTACAATAGACCCAAATTCTAAAAGATATCTTGGGGCATAAAAATTGTAGATTTTGTTTTTTCTAACCCCCTGAGCTAATTTAAACTTGTTTTTTTAAGCCAAACAAATCTAAAAAGACATGCCTTTTTTAAAAGTCATCCTTCCAAACTTCTAGAGAGAGAGAGAAGGGCTTCATGGAGGTGAGAGGTTATCAGGAGGAGAGAAAGAGGTGTTTGGAGAAACATAGGAGGAGAGAGAGAGACAAAGATGCAGGAAGAGAGAGAAAGAGAGAAGTTTGTGATATAAAAGTGAAGACAGAGAAATGATTGGTTTTAGAAAGAGCATGTTTGTCGCACATTTGTTTAGGTTAAAAAATAGGTTTAAAGGTCAGGGGTTAGAAGATATTTTTTGAAACCTTGGGTTTGTCAAGAAATGAAACTTAAAAATAGGGAATATAGAGATATTTTCCCAAAAATATATTATGGATTGTTTTCTAGTAATATTAGAAAACAATAAAGATCTTTTCCTAGTCTTGCAGCACTAGCAAACCTCTCTCAAGAAAAAAGAAAATTCGTTTAGTAATTTGAAATTTTTGACATATGCTTTTTGTTGTTTGTTGTCTAGATTTCTTCTGATTTATTTATTTATTAAAAGGATGCTTTGGCGCTTTCAATTCCTAAAAGTTAAACATTGAAATTGTTCACATATCATAGTACAAATGCACAATTGATCATGACCTTGTATTATTTTGAACTTTTAGGCCGGGCTTTCAGGCTCAAGTGCAATTGTATGTGCTACTCTTAATTGCTTGCTGGACTTCTACAAAGTGAGACATTTGATTAAAGTTGAAATCAGGCCAAATCTGATTCTTAATGCTGAGGAGGAACTAGGGATTGTTGCCGGCCTTCAAGATCGAGTCGCACAAGTTTATGGTGGGCTTGTCTACATGGTATGCCTGAATTCAAAGTAAGAATATCGCTAAGAAAGTCATACACTAAAATGTCATTGATGTCATTTTGCCGGCAGAGGCCGTTTACGTAATCATTTCACTAAATAATCTGACCTTGCAGGACTTCAGCAAGGAACATATGGATAAGTTGGGCCATGGGTTGTACACACCTATGGACCCTAGTATCCTTCCACCTCTCTATCTCATATATGCTGAAAATCCAAGTGATTCAGGAAAGGTTTGTATTTCGTTAATCCTTCATATAAAGTATTCTGGACTGGTTGCCATGCCAACCTTTGTGATCCTCCTCTCCCATCCCATTAATGCAGGTGCATAGTACCGTTCGGAAGAGGTGGCTTGACGGTGACTCGTTAATTATCTCATCCATGGAGGAAGTTGAAAATATTGCATGGCAGGGTCGTGAGGCATTACTGGAAAAGGATAATGATAAGCTTGCAGAGGTTGTGAATCGCAATTTTGATCTTCGAAGGTTAAGCTTCTATCTACGAATTACAGTTGTATAGTTGCATTTGGTCCTAGAAAATCATAGTCTGATGGCCTGATCCTTATGACTGGGGGAATATTTTGGTCATAGGGGAAGATCACATCATAGGTTTGAATGGTGATGGTTGCAGAGTGGTATAGAGAATACAAAAAAATGAACTTCTCACAGACTGGGTGTTCTTGTATCAAAAACTCCTTATGGGATCCAAAAAATGCTATACAAGCTGTACAAGCATTGGTATATGAGAAAACAAAGCTGCTATCTACAGCTCAAAAAGGTGGTTGTATATGTCGTGTGAGGTCTGCTAAGAGGCACCTTCCTTAGCTAGAGCATCAGCCGCATCGTTTACCTCTCCCCAGGTATGCTTGCAAACCATGTGCATAGCCCTCCAAAGGTGGGAAATCTTATTAAAAAAACCCTTCCCCCTTCCACGGGCCTTGGGACGGATTATGGGCCCAAGCTATGACATTCCTCGAATCCCCTTCCATAGTATGGTTGGGTCCCAAGAGGAATTGTAGTGGTGAAGTCCCACCAGAAGAGCTAATGCTTCGACAGCAGCAGAGCATGAATTCAGGAGTAGAATTACTCTCCTATCATCAAAGTCCAACTGATTGATGGGACAGTGATAACCTAATGACTATACTGTTTGTCAATTTGTCACATATTTGTCATTTTACGCCTATCCTTTAACCATTGCCATATTTACCTTGGTTCTTTTTTGTTAAGAAGCATGTTTATATAACGCCTCAACCTTATATTGTAGAGGTAAGGTGCGCCTAAAAAATCCACCTGAGAAGGAGGTTCTGACGTTGAAAAACCCTACAATTAATTATCTTGACCTCGAGATCTATGGTTATGAAAAGAAAAGACAAGAAAAGATTTCAAGTCCTGAAAGTGGTATATCTTGTAATACATTATCTAGACCATCCATTTTCATAATTTTTTGATATTTAAAGATATGCTTGAGCTGCACCATTCTTGGAGCAATAGATTTCATAATTAGGAGTGAAAATAGTTTTTTAGACCATCATAGGGGTTTCTCGGACTGGAACTATATCTTTTAGCGAGATTTAGAGGTGCGCCTTGCTTTTATTATTTAAGGTTGACGCTTTATGCAGACCTCACCCTTTTGGTAATTTTGTCATTCTGTATATAAGGATAATGTTCTTAAAGTTCAGGACCTCCACACATATGCTAGTTCTTCTTTGTTTGCAGGAGAACAAGAATAAAAAGGAAGAGGATTAACAGAGATGAACTAACAGAGTTTCTTGGTTGGTGCAGACTGATGTTTGGAGATGAGGCTCTTGGTTCCCTCAAAATCTCTATGATTGAGGTGGCTCGTAGTGTTGGTGCTGCTGCCAAATTTACTGGTAGTGGTGGGGCTGTAATCGCATTGTGCCCTAAAGGACCATCACAAGCGGAAGATCTCAAAGTTGCATGTCAAAAGGCTGGTTTTATTGTTCAGCAAGCAGTGGTTGTCTCCTCTTTTCTCAGTGACGAGGAGCCAAAGGTTGCTGCCTCTAATTGAAGCAAGAGGAAGCATCTTTGATTTTTCGAGCTCACATTCATGCTTTTTTTAATGTTAGCTCCAGTTATTTAACTAGCAAGTCCAAAGTCAATACATCTTTGTTTTTTTGTTCCCGAAATTTTGCGATTGTCTTATCATGCACACAGCTGGGAACACTGATTTTTTTATTAAGATATCTGAACAATGGTTGTTCATAAACAGAAAAAAAAGAGTCCGAGTTATGAGAGAAAAGGCCTATGATACCTAAATGAGGAAATAAAGCATGGCAGCTAGGCATGACAGAATTCTTTTTTGCAATAACACAAGTTTTTGTCTTTGGTTTTTTCCTTTGTTTGATGAATGTGAGGAAAAGTATTTCTTAAGGTATCTGCATGAAACTCACGAGGATACAAAACTGACATTAAATCAGTGGTTCACAAATATAAATACTGGACTTCCCTGTATTGAGGTTATTTGAAAAAATTATGGGAGTTATTGGTTTTGAAATATGTTTCGACACTGTAGCTTGAGCCAATATGCGATTTTTATTTAGCTGCCTAATTTGAATGGATTTTTTAAAATATTTGTAACTAAGAAAGCAATTGTTTTCTTATTTTTATCATAGGCACCCCTACGAGAGGTGTACATGGCCCAAATGTTGCATAAAATTAAAATACTCCGAGCTATTTGATCAAGATTAGATATTTAGAAATAAACTTATGTTTGAATTGTATCTGTGGGCTCAACAAAATTTAGAGAGAAAACATAGCAGTAGAAGGATCCGTTAGCATAAATGAGGACAGAGGTCATAGATACATTCGTAGGATTATGATATCGAAAGTGAAAGAAGCTTTGAAAAGGATAAAGATAGGAAAAACTTTTGGACCAGATCGTTAGCATAAATGAGGACGGAGGTCATAGATGCATTCGTAGGATAACGATATCGAAAGTAAGTCGAAAGTGAAAGAAGTTTTGAAAAGGATAAAGAGAGGAAAAAGTTTTGGACCGGATAGTATTCAAATAGAGGTTTGGAAGTACATAGGGGAGAAAGGCTGACCAAATTGTCTAAGGTGTTGAGAACAAAGAACATGGCAAATAGAGTTTGGAGGTGCATAGGGGAGAATGGCTGGCCAAATTGTCTAAGGTGTTGAGAACAAAGAATATGTCAAAGTAATGGAAGAAAAATATTGTGATACATATTTTAAAGAATAAAAGAGACATACAAAATTGTGAGAACTATTCAGGGATCAAATTTATGAGCCACACTATGAAGCTCTAGAAGAGAGTGATTCAGTCTCTTGACTCTATATCGACTTGGTGAGAGATGTTTACGATGAAGTGCTAACTAGTGTATGAACGACTAGTGGAGAGACAAGGGAGCTTTTTAGTGACAATACGTCTACATTAGGGGTCCGCATTGAACCCATACCTCTTCAACTTAGTCATGGATGGCTTAACTAGGCACCTACAAGATGAGGTGCCGTGGTGCATGTTGTTCACAGATGACATAGTTTTGATTGATGAGACCCGAAATGACGTCAACATAAAGTTAGAACTTTGGACATATCTAAAGGTTTTAAAATTAGTCGGACTAAGATAGAGTATATGAAATACATTAGCAATAATATGCGTAGAGGCAATGAGGTAAACCGTAAGGAAATGAAAAAAAGAGCACGCTTTTAATATCTTGAGTCGATAATCCAGGAAAATAGAGAGATTGATGAAGATGTCACATGTATAATTAGAGCTGGGTGGGCGAAGTAAAGATGTACAACTATAATTTTATATGATTGCCGCATACGAATGTAGCTAAAGGACAATTTTGATAGGACAGTTGTGAGATCAGCTTTGCTTTATACTGCAGAATGTTGGGCGGTCAAAAAACACTATACCTATAGAATGAGTGTAGTGGAGATGAGGATGTTGAGATGGATGAGTGACAAGATAAGAAAAGAAAGAATTCGAAATAAATACATTAGAGAAAATTTAGGCATGACACCATTAGGTGATAAGATGAGAGAGAGTAGAATTAGATGGGCTAACTATGTGCGGCATAGATCTAGCATAGCATCTATTAGGAGGTGTGAGTTAGTTCAAGTGGAAGACTCAGAAAGAGCAAGGGGTAGGCCCAAAATGATATAGTTCGAAGTAGAGGGAAAAGATATGGAGGATTTATGGCCAAAGTGAGGGTATGATCCTTAATAGAGCAGAATGACGGATCAGAATTCGGATAGCAGACCCCAATTAGTTAAAAAAACCTTTGATGATGATAATAATGTGCTTTATACGTGGATGGCACCACATGTAAACTTTCCCCATTAAAAAAAAAAAAAGAACAAACATGAATTAAATTGAGGAACATCTTAATTGGCCTACTGGCTCAGCCATATAAGCCTGCTGTTTCTGTTCCTCGTGAATCTTGATTAAAAGTACTTGGATACAATAGAGTTGGTTCACATTTGGTGTAGGCCATGCTTGTTATTTATGATTGAAATAAATTAAGGCTGATATTCGATTTTATAAGGCCTAGTACGTTATTATTTGTCGAAAAAACTATGGCTTAAAATAATTCTACATAAGCTTTTTTATTTTTTATTTTTTATTTTGCATTTCACACGTGTGAACACACATATTGCAGGTGTGTACCCACTGTTCCAAGCATTTTTTCTGAGGTTCCAAAAGTCGCCTTCCAGTACAAAACCCGATCATGAGGGAGAAAAGAAAAGAAGTATGACAATGATTTGAAAAATGGATTGATCGGTGACTTGGATAGGGACCCCAAAAACCGGTTTGGATAAGGGAATCAGCGGTTTGGATTGCCATTTCACTGTATGAAAAAAACATTGAATCGGCCAAAAACTGGTCTTGATTGGTCAATGGGCGGTCCGGATCGCCGTTTTACTATTGAGCATCGCTATTTTACTATGCGGAACTGCCGGTTCCTTTCTAGACTCAATCATTTTCCTATGTATACGTAGAAGTGGAACCGATGACTGATTCCTAAGTAAGATCAGGCAATTTCGTGTTGACTTTGCATTTTTTAAAGGGAAAAGTTTATATAGAGCTGAGGCTCTAAACAATCAAATTAGAGCCTACCTCAAAAATTTCACTAGAAGAGGTTGTTTTGATGCCCAAATATCCTCAAATTGATCATCTCGACATCAAGATGTATGGACATGAGAAAAAAATGAATTTTAAGTTTTGGAAATAGTGTATTTTGTAACGCATTTTTGGACCGTCAATTTTCAAGATTTTTAAGTTTTCATAGATCGGTCAATCTACACTATTTTTTAATATTTAAACTTTATAAATAAATTTTAAAATATATATTAAGGCTATCACAAGGATTTTCAATATTGAAACTGTTAGTCCTACTAAAATAATAATAAATAAATAAAATTAAAAAAAAAAAACTTAACTCATATTTGTCCTTAAATCACACTAGGGACTTAAGGTTCTATACTCAATCCTATAGACTAGGCCATGCGGTGACATGCAACCTTGAGAGTTATGTTTGGTGAATCTCATTCATCTTCTATATCTGTTTTTCTATAATTTTCTCTATATTTTTTAGAAGAGTTAACATCATTTTATAGAGAACACATTTATTTTGTAACTCTTACATTCATGGTCTATAGGAGTTGAGATCCAAGTATAACTCTTGCCTTAATTCCCTTAAGTGTAGCTAATTAGGATTAGCAAGTTGTCACAAAACTATGAATCTTATGTAATGAGCTAAACCTCTCATTAGTCCACTAATGACTCACACAATGGTTTAAAAAACGGATCGGTGACCCATCCGGATTGGTGAATCGCCTGTTTGGATCGGGAATCGACCGAATCGGTTGAGTTCGGCAATAAAAAAATTCAAAAAATTTATTAAAAATCATTATAAATATTTTTTTTTAGGAATCCAATAAAAAATGGGGGTACTACATTTTTATTTTTTTCCATCAATATGCGAATATTGAGATGTTCTTTCCATGTATGAACTTATGTTAACCATTAAATTTACATCACACAAAAAAAGAACCATAGAATTATCATATATGTAGTATCTTATAATATCATCTAATTTAAAATATATTATTAACAACTATAAGAAAAAAAGTTTATATAAAGCCGAGGCTCTAAGAAATCAAATTTGAGCCTACCTCAAAAGTTCACTAGAAGAGGTTGTTTTGATGCTCAAATATCTTCAAATTGATCATCTCAACATCAAGATGCATGGACATGAGAAAAAAATGAATTTCAAGTTTTAGAAATAATGTATTTTGTAACGCATTTTAGACCGTCAATTTTCAAGATTTTCAAGTTTTCATAGATCTGTCGATCTACATTACTTTTGAAGCTTTGAACTTTATAAATAAATATGAAAATATATTTTAAGGCTATCACAAATATTTCCAGTAATAAAACCACATTTCTCAACACTATTTGAAGGTAGGCTCTAATTGGATTATTTAGAGCCTAGGCTCTATACAAACCGCACCCTTACATAATTTATAATGCAAATAAATTAATAAATAAAATACAAGATTTGGTTATCAATGTAGAAATTATAAGGACGCATACCAATTTTTGAAATAACAATTTATTTTTTCAAAAATCGAATTGTTTAGATTTCTAGAATAAATTTAGTAGAAGAGATTGATAGTGGAGAGAGAGAGAGAGAGTGAGAGAGAGAGAGAAGAGAGATTTCAAATAGCTTCATTGTATGAACCATATCTTTAAATTAATATTTTCTAAGTTTATGTTAAAGACCACCATCTTATAAAAATAAAAAATATAATAAGACCATTTATTCCTAAGTAAAAAATAGAATGGGATGAATGTCCCACATCCAAAAAATAAACTATTGAATGGGATGAAATGTCCAACGGTCCAATGGCATGTGCCCAATGCTCTATCTTTTAATTAGACAATTGAATGAGATGAAATGTCCAATTCCTAGATAAAAAGTACAATTAGACCATTGAATGGGATGAAATGTTCCACATCAAAAAAATATAATAAGTTTGATGTAAATAACAGCATCTTCAATACCATCCTCAAATGTGTGCTTCAAAAGCATGATGGAACATGGGCACGTGGCACAAGGGGTCTTTGAAAAGATGGAGCATAGTGGGGCACGTGGCACTAAGGGTGGTTGAAAAGAATGACGGAGCATGGGGCACATGGCCTTAGGGGGCCATGGTTGAGAGAGGCATATGTAACTATGAGATTGCCCCCATTTTTTTAGAAATT